GGAGGCGTGAAGGTGGCGTAAGCACTAGCAGTGGTTGGGATATCCAGGTCAGTACCCGGCACTGCCCTTGACCTCATTGGCCACCAGGTGAGACGGCTGCTCGCGTGATGCAGGCAGGTGCAGCTCCCGGGGCTGGTGCCGTGGCCTCTGCAAGCTGCTCCGACTGGATTTACAGACTACTCTCTTATCAAACCTGATGGATTTCCTCTCCCACTCCTTTCCCAGCCCTTGCCTCGCACTAGGAGGCAGAGAGCATGACACAGCACAGAGGACTGACCTTAGGTCTAGAAAGAGAAGGACATCACTGAGCTTTTGCCTTCCAAGGCTCTGGATTTTCAGCAGACTCCTACTCTTTCCCGAGTTTGCCTTCCCAAGAGAAGAGCAACCTCTGGAAACGGTGTCAGTCAAGAAAACTGTAATGTGATACAGGTCTTACCCACCGAAACAGTGGGAATGTCTCATTTTACAGTGGGCCCTTCCAAGAGGAAACCAACCCAGTGTAAATAACGTGTCTGGGAAGAGAAGACAAACTTTTAACCCTTCCCTAACCTTTACTTTTTGCTCAGTCAAGGTGCAGCTTTCCTTGAAGCTGTGCTAAGTCAACCTCTCTATGCTTCCAGGCTCCGTTCTCCAGTCCAGGTAACCCTGATACCCCACTGTTTTGCTAATCCCACCACCCAAAACTGAGACTCAAGTAAGATTAACCAGGTACAAGAATGAGTGGTGGGTCTCAGAAGGCTTGTGTGTGTGTGTGCCTGGACCTCTCTGCCCAGATCAATCTTCCACCTCCACCTGGACACCTGAGGGAAATGCAGAAAGGGTCATTCTGCCTCTTCCCCTAAATGCCATTCCCAGGGCTTACAGAAAGGGGCTACCAACACAGAGCACAAGCATGTTCCCTCTTACATATCTCTAAGTGTTTTAGCTCAGTCACCTCAAATACAACAAATAACAAATGCATCTCTCCCTTTAAAAGACCTTCTATTTATTATTGGTTAAAATACAGACTCAAGATACTGCTCCTCCCGTGTACAGGTGAATGGTTTGAAGCAAGTTTCACCGTACAGGGTCTGGCTCTGAAGGGAGAGCAGGGACTCCACCAGGGACTCCCTCCAACATTATCCAAGAGAAGTCACCGGGACAGCCTGTACAAACAGATATGTTTCATCGGGATGCTTGTAAAGACAAGCTTAGAGACCTCGATCCACCAGCACTCCTGAGCACGTGCTTAACTCACTCCTAACCGTGAAGTACCCTGAGCGTGTGCTGAAATGCTTCGTTTAGTCAGAATGGGCTTCATCAGATGCTTAAACACTTACTGCATGAGTACTTTGGAGATTAAGATTGATTGGGTCCTTGTCCCCCCCGTACCTCAAGCTTCCCCTCCAGAAAAGCCCATTCCTTAAAACGTAAGGCTTACAGAGTGCAAGGAGACCCAGGGAACATATTTTTCAACAGGTTGCAAGTTTTCCAGCTTCCTGCCCTTGACCACAGAAGACTTGAACCTTTCTGGGGGGAAAACACTTAATCTGCTCGCAAAGCCATTACATCATGATGTAAGAGTCCAGATCATATACATTTTCCTTCAGTAATGTCATGAAAACCTTAGTTTTCAGGACTTTCAACTCCAACTCCTTTAAACAGAACAAAAGCCAGATTTTCAGAGCTTGGCTCAGTGACATGAAGTTATTAATGTTAATATATTTTATTGATCTTAAAGGAATACAGCATGGAAACAAAGGCCATTAATAGAGAGAGGCTCTGCTTACATTAGCAAGGCATTCCACACAGAAGGAGCAGATCCAAACTGAGGGCCCCACAGGTACAATATATACAGTTCGTGTGTTTACTTCAGCCTAGATTTACTCTGCTCCCCAGTGTCACTTGGACCAAATTTGTCCACATCTTTTCACTAAATTTATCCACGTTTTTGGACTGGAAGCTGTTCTAGGGAGCCATCACTTGTTCAGATCCCATGCTCCAGCCCAGGTAGGAGCACATTTCCTGAGCCCCTGGAGTGGAGTGTCTAGGTTAGAGGCTCAAAGGCGTCTAGCATGCACCAAAACTGCTCTGCTGTCCAAACCAGAAAGGCACGGATGTAGATACAAACAGAGAAAAAGGAAAACTCTCCAAGGACAGCAAAATCCCAAGGCAAGGTGCACTAAATGCCCAGTGCTCTGCCACTACTACATTTTGTTTGGGTTGGAGGTCATCAGCTGGGGGTGGTAGAGCACACGTCCCTCCCTCCTTTCTGTAATACCTTGTCTATCCCCTTTGAACTTGCTGACATTATATGTGCTCTGCTATTCCCTGTGGCAGCACATTCCTTGCTGTGGAAAAAAAAAATGCACTTTCTGTTATACCATTTAACTGATCTCCCACTTGTTTCTGTACATCTCCCCTCATGACAGCACTGTGGGATTTTTAAAACCCAGAGCAATTGTTTCTTGCAACAGTGATCCACCTATATTACTTTGCCAAATTAAAATAAATAAATAAATAAAAATCATGCCGTGCAAGGAGCATCAACACGATTCCTTGGAGTTTCGGGAAAATTCACAGGAAAAGTAGATAGGTCTGGGTTTTGCAGATTGTTTCCACTGGTTTGCAGTCTCTGTATCCTCTCTGTACTGTGCACAGGAACTGTAAAATCGAGAATTATGTTGGAAAGCTTTTTTTGTGCTAGCAGCTCAGTTATATGTATGTTATATGTATGATTGTTGGCTGCTCCAAAGGTACAGCTAAATGCTGAATTTAGCTATTAAATACATCTTTAGGAATTTCTGCTTCCTCACAATTTTCATGTCCTTGTTCCCTCCTGCAAGGAAAAGCACATTGAGGGAGAGCCATGCCTTGTGTTGTGAATCATCTGCCGAATGGCAATCACAGCTAATAAAAACCTTCTTTGCTCTTTGTGGCAGAAAAGGATGCAGGTCTCTCAGGGATGGCTTTGCTGGCTGCCACCTGAGGAGCTCCTGACCTTTCTCAGAGCCAACAAACAGATAGATTTGGGATTAATGAAGGTAAAGGACTCTGTTGGGGGAAATCAGTTGTCAGTCCTTATCCAGGGTGAATCCCACACCAGGAGAAAAACTAGAAAGCTTTTAAGAGATGGACAGATTCTTTCTGAAGGCCCAGAACAAGGAAAGCTGCAAAGGCAGTGAGCTGAAGCCTCTCTGCAAGAAAGAGTTGGGATATGAAAGGGAAAAAACAGACATAGGAGATTGGAGCTTATCACTTGTCCCAGCAAGGCTGTTGCAGGACTTGACCAGACAGTTAAAGCACCTCATCCACTGCCACTGCTGAAGGTGGCCTTAATCATTTCAAGAGCACTGAAAAAAATGAAGCACAATCCCTCAGAGGATTCAGGCTAGCCCAGTCCATCTTACCAATCTCAGCATTAGACTGAAACACTTCCTTCTTCCAGCCTTCCCTGGAAATACAGATGAACCAGAATCAGACCACTGCGCTTAAGGATTCTCTGTTGCCACCTTCCTTCAGCCCCTGCTGTTCCAAACCCTTGTGACACCAGTGGATTGAATCTCTCAGGACAAGAACAAGGTCCACACAAAGTCCTGCACAGTTGCGATGTCTAGGCAAAAACCCCAGGCATCTCTCTGACCTCACACACAGCAGGGCCAGCTTGCTTTGTGGTCCACTGACCCACAGCTGTGACTGGGCTTATGGTGCATAAGACAGACCCCAAAAGCCTGCTGTGACACTCTCATATCCCTTGTGAATCACAGCACCTCGAAATGTACGTGATGCTGAACCCTGCACTAGAGGAGATGGTACTTCAGAGATGCACAGTGACACTCCAGGACCTAACTCAGAAGCACTCCAGCTACGTTCCTTATGTTAAGCATGAGCTTCTGTGCTTTGCTGCACTCGGCTATACATGCAGCACAGGGATATAAACCCAAACCTCCTCACCATAACCTGTCCTCACCTTGAAATAGGCCCCAGTGCACTGAAGACAAACCTTGCAGCTTCAAACTTCCAGAGACTACCATAAACACTGTGGATAATTAAAACACGAACGTTATGAAAAGTACATTGGCAAGGACTCAAGGCTGTGGAGCTGGAAAGCCAGGTAGCTTAAAGAAGTGCCAGATATTTAACTGCTCTCCAAGTTTTGCAGATGTTTTTCAACCTAACATTGCAAAAACTTACTAACATAGATATGTTTCCTAAATCAGAACCAGAGAAAAGAATGTGTGCTGTGTTTTGGGACAATATCAAGTACTTTTCCAGCACTGTAAGATTTTTATTAAAAAAAAAATAAAAAAATGGGGGGAGAGAAGGGAAAGGGGGAGATGTAGGCCTGTTTAAAGGATTCTGGATGCTCACCTAAATCATGTAGGAAAAGGAAAATTCCTTTTCCAAACTGAAATGACTCAGATGCAATTAAAACAGAGATAGCATCGGCGCATTTCCCCATCTGGTATTAAGCTACCCTATGAGAGTGCTGCAGAATGCAGTGGTTGCAGCTGATGCAGTTTTAGTGATATTTAGATGGTGAATTTCTTGTTATTTTACTCAATTACCTAAACTTAAACTATTCAGCAACTCATTTTTGGAAACCAGCCTCCTTCACCCAGTAAGAGACAATATGCTATAGCACTGTAATTAAGAATTCATCTTTCCAAAGCCACTGGTCAGTTTTCTTCCCACCAGCAGCTCCTTTACAGCCACAGAGACAGTGCACGTCTGCAGATCCTCTCTTTTACTCTGCTACACCTTTGAGGAGATTTACAGGGATTTGCATGTGTTTTTCTCGCTCAAAGAGAGATTATGTGGCATGATTAAGAGAGATTTTAGGAAAGAAACCACGAGCTTTGACAAGCTTCTTGACATTCCCTTTGTTTGATATAACACCCGTCAGTTATTAACAGGGATGTGTTGAGCTGCTGATCAGCTTCAGTAATGCTGTGTTTCATAACAAACATTTCTTCTCTCCCCTCTCTGTAGCAGCAACCATTGTCCAGCAACTTCTGGAATAATTATTCTATATTAATATTTTTTATATACACATAACATATAAAATGTATATACTTACATATACACACACAAGTTACCCTTCCATTTTAAAGCAATAGGAGAGTTGATTTAAACCAGGAGATTGCTCCTGCTTTCACAGGAGCAACCAGTTAAGGTGAGTTACAGATTCTCCTGTATCATGGGAGATGGACATTAAGGACTTTGTGGGTCACTGCATCTAGAAACTTATGACCACACTGCATGACCCCATACAGAAAGTGCCGTTCCTCTACTAACAAATAATAATAATATGAGAGACATCAGAGATAGTTAGGGATTTACTACACTCTGCAAATTAAAGGATGAAATCCACCACTTAGACAAAAAGTGTTACCACTGTCTCAGAAGCTGTTCCTAGAGACATTTAACTGTTGGTGGATCTCTCCCTCCCACATTTTCAATGCAAGGAAACCTGAGAAAGTACCATTCTGCTTTACAGGTGGGTGACAGCAGGAAGGACACAGAGGAACCACAAAGGAAGGCCTCTGCCCAGCCAGCCTTGCTATGGACCAGATGGGCTGCACACATATCCCTGAAATTCCTAACCATCACAGCATCCATGCTAGTCGTATGCCCACTGCTTCACAGATCCTAGAGCAGAAGATGAACCTGCAGAAAGCGGCCCATTCTCTGGCCCAGCTCCATCAGACATGCCTGCCATAAACCTCCAGCCATCCCACAACAACCTACAAAGTTGTTGCTGCAAAGGGAAGCGGTGTTGTCTGCGGTTAGCTCCTTTCTCCTTTGCTGTCAGAGACTCACCTCCAGTCCTATGGGAAGAAAGAAACTGAGACAGAGTCCAGTGGGTGACACAACTGTCACTTCTTTCTCATAACCTTGTCAGGTTTGTGCCACAGCCAGTTTCCATGCATAAAGAGGGCACCAGGGACACCAAGCCTACAGTCTCCTCTACCCAGCCCAGCACCTGAGCATGCAGCTTTTGGTGATTCGTTTACCGGCCACTTCAGAGGGACGCCCGTTGCATTACACAGATCCATTTGGTTACAGAAACCTACCATCTGCCCCTCAGTTGTACTAACCAAAGTCTGCAAGCACCCTGAAGCAAGGAGGATTAATATTACATTTCCATCTGCTCCGCAATGTGAGCTGCCCATAAGCAACAACCTGAAGATATCTCCAAGCTCCTCAATCCCATCCTGCCCTTAAAAAATGCAAGCTACTGCAAGAACAAGAGGAGCCATGACAATCCAGTTCCCTCAAAGCACAAATCACATACACAGCAACATTTTAAACTTGCTCCATTTCCTGCATGACGAATTCCAGGGAATGTTAACAGGCCACATTAAAGAGACACCGAGGTGGTGACAACGCCAATACAAAACCATTGACTGGCACTGCCCCAACGTAACAAACTTTAAAAAAGTATTAAAACAGACTGTTTATTACAGCATATGATGTGTTATATTAATTTACACAATGATATATATATAAAAACAGCCATTGATGATGTACAGTAAATTGGACATCAACGGGAATATTAAAACTACTGATACTCATGCACGTGACATGCATATGATTTTTTTTCAAAAGCAGTTTTACACAATATACTGAAGCTACTAAGCCTTGGTCAGCTGCTCCAACAGTTTATTCTGAACACCACCACAGTCCACACTGGGACTCCCAGGAAATCAGAGCAGAGTGCACTCCAGAGAAGGCAACTTGACCTTGGAGATAGATTTAACAGGAGCCCTTTCCTCATGGAAGAAGGTTGGGGGAGGACAGAGGCCAGCTTCAAGAAGAGAATCAACAAGAAAAAAAAAAAAAAAAAGGAAAAAAAATCAGGCTGGACTATCAGGAGGAACAAGTTCAAGATGTGGCAAGAGGAGCAGCAGAAAGGGAACAAGAAAAAACATGAAGACCACCCATACTCCCTCCCCCTCACCCCCTAAAACCTTATGACCTTAAGCTGTTGATATCCTGTATAAGACCCAGAACTGGAAAGAAAAAAATAGGCAAAGAAGATCCATTCCTGGAAACATTAGCCTTTTTTTCCAAAGCCTTCTGATACTATGCACTGGAGGCTGTTCACCACTGAAATGGCAGTGTTGTGTTTTGTTTTTTTTTAAACGAGTGTAATGTTTTTTTATTTCCACTTAAAAGGCACTAGTATCCACCCAAGTTCTGAAGACAAGTGACATAATTTACCTTAAGTTTTAAATATCTGTATAAAAAAAAAAATCTGTGGAAATATGTACACAAAAGCACCTTGCTTCCGAAAGCAGAAACAGATACATTCCACCAAGTCCCTTCACTAGACGGTCGTCATGAGCTTCAGGGAGCCTGACCGAAAGCGCAGGATTTTCTTCTTGAGGTTGTGGGAGGCTTTGATTTTGACAAAGGCCTTTGCTGCATTTTCATGCAGCTCCGGAGCCGTGACCGTCTGGATGGGGAGCGTCTGGACAAACTGGGACCAAATGAGGCCCCCGCTTTCATCAGAGTCGCTGGTGGTGGTGCTCTCCCCGACGAACTCCACCTCGCTCAGGCTGGACTCGCTGTCTCCGAAGCAGTTCGTCGTGTAGTTGCTCTGCTCGTCCTCGCTCGTGTCCACCACGGTGGAGTGGAACAAAGACTCGCACTCCGCCGAGTACTCCGAGTCGCTGGCCACGTAGGCGTAGGGGCTGACATACGGCAGGGGAACTTGCGAGTAGACTCCTACACCATCCCGCCGGTTCCTCCTCGCCCTCCGCAGGGCCTCCTCGTAGGAAATCTCCGCCGACGACTTCCACCGGCGGTAGTCGGCCCGCTTGTGTTTCGGTTTGGCCACCACCACCTCCCGGCCGTGTCCGTGGGATCTGATTACCGATTTATGGAGGCCGGCCGGCCGGCCCTGGAGGCCAGACTCCGGCTGCAAGCCGCTGCTCCTCTTCCCCCTGGAGGAGGGCTTTTTCAGTTTCTTATTTGTATCCAATTCCTCAGGAAAGCGGCACTTCTTGCCAACCGGCTTGCCTTTCTCCCGCAACGTCTGCGCGCTGTTTTCTAGCCCGTTGGCGAGGTGCGGCCTGTGTTTCAGCGCCGAGCTTTTCAAAATCTTGACATTTCGGGTGCCTTTATGGAGCTTAACACTTTGCTGCTGGGCCGGTATGTACTGGGCGTTCACCAGCAGCCCATCGTCGAGGCTCTGAGAAGAGGAGCCCTCGCTTTTGAAATCCAGCGTGGGCCTCTCCTCCACTGGAGGTGAGGAGGTGTGAGCTGCCTGCAAGCTGCTCTTCAGCAGAACCTTTTTGGGAGGCTGGCTGACCCTGGTCTCTGGCTGCAGCACCACCGGCTTCCCTGGGCTCTCTTTGGGAGATGCAGCAAAGATCTGGCTGCTTTCCTTGGGAACATCCCCCGTGGTAGCCACCGCGTGCCGGTTTAGCTCTGAAGGCGCTGGCTTGGCCCCACGTGGCAGATGCTTGCTCTGAGCTTCACTCGCCGCACCAGGTGGAAAAGCTGGTGGCAAAGGCACCTTTCTACTCTCCACCTGCTCACCAGCTGCCTCCCTCGGCCTCTGCTTGAGCGGGGAGGACACCACGGTGTCCAAAGCGGCCGTCCCACCAGGCGGCAAGCACGCTTGCTTCGTGCTCTTCAGGTTCACGACGTTGCTGTGCGAAACCGCCCCGGCAGCCTGCCTGACGCACATGCTGCCGTGTCGCAAGATCCCTTTGGTGGGATCAGCGTTGAGACTTGTCCTTGGTTTGTTAGTCCTTACAGAGTGAGTCTTTCTCTGCACCAGGCTTAAGATGTAGCCGTCTATCCTCTTGCTGGCGGATGGGCACGACGCAGGCCAGGAGCCCGGCGGGAGAAAGGCATCGGCTGGTTTTCCTGAGTCTATTTCAGATCCAGCACAAACGTCGGTAATATCGCAGCCGAGTCTCTCCTCTTCTCGTTGTGGGTTCTCAGTCACAGGGAGAAGAAACATGGGACTCTGCACAGCAACCGCGTGGAGAGGGCTGGGGTACCGGTAGACGTCACTCCCGTTTTTAGACACCAGATCGCACTGGTACTTTGGGTGGACATCTGCAACGACATCGAGGGAATTTGAGTGCGGTGTGGACAAAGAGCGACAGACAGAGCCTGCGGTCTGGTCCTCATGCTGGCCTTCCTTATTATAATCCATCCAGCCTATGAGATCTGAAAGGCATTTTAGAAGAGTTTAGAGAGCCTGCCAGTGACAGTCCTGCTGTTTTTCACACGCTGTCAGGGGCTCCGGTCTCATCTACACAAGCAGTGTAATGTTTTCACTACGGCAGTGCTGTTCAAACAGGAGAAATCTCTCTATCAGGGATGCTGCTCATCAGCTACACAAGCAGCACTGTTCTTCTATGGGTCTCTTCCCACCTGCAGCTAGGGAGGGTTTGCGTCAACATGACTAAATTGTTGAAAAAATAAAAATCTCAGCCCTGATGAGAGTATTTACATTGATTTCAAACTTGTGCCTAGATTACTGAGAGCTTCCTGTTTAATATCCAAGCCACCCAGAAGCCTGTAAGGGTCTCTCATGGTTGTGTGTTACACTGTCACCTGTATAACTCACTGTGGGCCTCAGATGTATAACTCTGAATTTACTTTGCCCAAAGGGAAACAAAAAACATAGACAAGAGACCAACAAATTGCTTCTAGCTTACTGACAAATTTCACTTCCAGGTTTTTCCAAGTATGTCTTGGGTCAAAAAAGAAAATCCAGATTTAATTTTATTGTTGTTATTATTATAATTATAACTACTATTAGCATGATAACTATTTATAATTGTAATAATGTAAATAATAATAGGCGCGCATTTTGAACAAGAAGAGGTGAAAGAATGGGAAACAGGCTCATCTTTCCACACAAGTACAAGGATTGCAGGTCAATACAGCCAATAACCTAGCCTTGGCTCTGCAAAGAGAGTTGTGGAAGAGAAATCCAGTGCGTTTCAAGATGCATGAGTCAGATTTAATGGCTAAGGCACTTAGGAGACAAGCAACCTTACAAGCAAGGCTTCAATCCAAGCACCTAAGATTATTATTTTCTTAAGGTTTAGTTCATTTTGTCTTCCTGGGTAGGGGGACAACCTAAATGATCCTTGGAGATCACTGTCAGTTTTGTTTTCTACCCTTGGGCTAGAAACTTCAGCCAGGGTTCTCAAATTTGAATGCTCAGTGCTTGCCACTTATCTAAGGCTTATTTCAAAAGAGGTCTCACATACTTTGATGAAATTAGCTGATAGAGATGATGTTCCTGTGTGGGCAGGAGAGGGAGAACAGGGAAGGTAAGAACAGGCACTTCCTCCAGATCACCTCACAGTTTTCCCACATTTCCTAAATTCTATGTCAGAGGCAGGAAATGTTGCCAAAAAAGACTTCTTTGAAACGTGCCAGTTTGAGAAATTTCATCCCTAAAAGTGAGACGGTATGATTAATGAGAGTTTTAGATTTCATGTTGTACACAGAAGAAAAAAAAAAAACAGCAAAGCAATCTGCTGGAAAGCCTTATGCATGTTTTTCTTTTTATGTATGGCTGCTGAAAATCCCATATACCTTTCAACAGGGAACATTAAATTACCTCAAGCTGCTCAAAGGATAACTTAGAGGAGTTCTCAGCATCTCAGAAAGAATGTATCCCAGGCTGAATTTTCTCACTTCTGAGTCAGAAGAACTTGAATTATTTTGTCCTCGATTCACAAAAATTCACTATAAGTTAACCTTAAAGAGCAGAATTGAAATTAGAAATACTATGGTTACGAGCATCCTCCACAACCCAGAATGGACTTAAGGCTTTTGAATGAGTACGGCTGCAACTTCAACCAGTAATGCTCAATCACAGAAGTCCTACTGAAGCAGGACAGAGTAGGACAGAGGAGGCCTTCCTATTTTACCACCATATAAATTAAGGATTGCAACTTCAGCCTGCTGTCAAAGGAAAGTCAACAGCTCTCTGCCAGGGACTAAATACGTTTTCCCTGTTCATGTTGTCTATTTGCCTATAATACCTAAACGAAGAACACACCTCAGCATGGTCACTTGGGTGTTAAGGACCTTCAGAACTGACAAAATGACTGCTACAAACAGACCTACTCGCGACCTGCAGCTAGCTCCTTACCCTGTCACTTTTAATAAGGACAAGTGTGGCTATATTGTATGGCTGTGGAGGTACTTCTAATTACTGCTGTTTAGTAAAAATGCTTTTCTAAAAGAAATCATGAGAAAATAGCCGACTAATGTGTTTATGTGCGTATGTACCACTGCCCTCTACTGGGTAGAGCAGCTGTCATATTTTCATGTGTGGGTTTTTTTTTCATACTTTTAGGGCAACAGATTCACATGTGAGGCTGGAGTGGTGGAAGGCAAACGGTCCTGCCTCATGACACATGTACATGATAGGCACTGGAATCTTTTCAGAGCACAGCACATCAAATGAAAAGAAGAAGGGTTAATCCAACCCAGATACTCCTGAGGCAGTATTTCCAAAGCCAAAGCCACCTCCTGGAGTATGATGTATTCGACCTGCTTTTACTATACCTGCAGATTTAGGGCGTCCATCTGAGATATTCAGTGTTGCCTCCAAAGGGCTGCAAAAGCAAGTGCTAGAATGGCAACTGGATAAACACTCACTGAAGACAGAGTTAGACGAATTCGAGAGCGATCCAGAAGCTCCATCACTCAGCTCATAAAACCCTATAAAAATAAGAGTTTGGATTTATATTAGTTATGTCTACACAAAGTTACCATTTGTGTCCCTAGAAAGGCAGTCATGCTCGTGTTTATGTTGGCTTACTCTATTGCAATTAGTTATGGGATTTCATTCAGTCATCCAAAAAAGCAGTGCACAATTTAGTAATATCCTTACTGCTACGAAGAATTCAGTTTAATAGTAAGGCACTTAAAAGTAAAAGAGCACAACTTTATTCAGCATATGATATTTTAAACTTTATTTTTTTTAACCTTTATAGGCACTGGGGTTTTAACCTTTACAGGGGCTTATGGATTTTAGCTAGAAGGCTCCAGGCTGTGTTTGCCAGCCCACTCATTTAATAGCATATTCCAACACAGACTCCCCGGCTATCACCTGACTACAGAATTTTTACCAAGAGTTGGGCCCAATGCAATCCATTATTTTCAAAAAGTTCTGGACATAGATATAATATTTAGGATGACATGAAAGAATAGTAAAAAATGCACAGGCACAGAAAATTCTATTTTTTGGTAAACAGGATCTACCCAAGAAAAATACAACACACTATAATCAAGATTTAAATTGTACATTTAGGAAAAATGAATGCAGATCATGTCTACAGAATGAGGATGCATCCTGGAAAACAATTCTCTTGAAAAGGACTTAGTCAGCATGGAAAAGCAGCTCAATCAAGCTTAATGATATGGGGGAAAAAAAAAAAAGAAAAAAAGAAAAAAGCTAATGAGATTGCTGGATGTACAAAGGGACTAATGAATAGCAGTTGGGAAATGACTTCACCAGTCTATATGGCACTGGTAAAGAAAGACATTGGAACGGTGTGCCTAGTCCTCAAATCCAGCATGCTTAAAACAAAGCTAAAAAATTGGAAACGGGCCATAAAGCTATTTAAGAGCTTGGAAAAATGCCTTGAAACAAATGACTTAATGAACTTGACCTGTTTAGCTCATCAAAAAAAGCTGGGAATTAAAATGTATAGCACCTCCAAGAGGAGAAAAAGCTGAGCATTAGAAAAGACCTTAGTCTATGGGAGAAAAGCATTTGAAAATAAATCAGTATGGGAGCAAGTCAAGTTCAAATTAGAAATAAGCAATGGTTTTAACAGTGCAAGTGATTGGTTGGTGGGTTTTCCACTCTTTATTGCCATCAAAAGTCTAGATGCTGCTAAGGAAGGTTCCCCATAGTTAAATACCATTTATTGGCTTCAACACAATTAGAATGGAATGAAATTCAATACATCAGGGATCAGATATTAAGATTCGCTGTTCCATCTGGCTGCAAGATTAACTTTGACATCTTTTTCCTGCTGTCGCTGCTTGCTTTTACCATTTTTCCTGCAACCTCCTTCCTAATACACAGGAGGACTGGAACATTTTGTGGGTGGCCTTGAGAAAAAAACGTGACCCAAACACTAAAAACCTAATTAAGCTTGAAACGTCCCTCTGAATATGTTGTCTACAAACAGCAACCTCTCTAGTAGTAGGTGAACTTTCCTAGTTGGCACTAATTATCAGAGTGTGAATGTGCTATAGACATTTTCTGTTGTAGTACTGAAAATTACAGGCTGCTTAATTCTAGGTACTCAGAGGCTCCGTCCTGCTGCACATTGGCCTTACCTGAACTTGGACGACTGTCTGTCTCAAGGTGTTCATCTGTCGTTTTTTCCACGTCCAGACGGAGGTCACTTATTTGCTTATCTAGCTCTTGCAACTGATTTAATAGGCCGGCATCCCTCCTCCTCAAGCAGTTCTGGAAAACAAGATGACAAACGTCAGCTCCTTCAGTGGGACAGACACAAAGGGGTTCCACAGACTATCAGCCCACTCCCTCTGTGCATCATGTCAACGCTCTTTAAAAAATAAAAAATTACAAACCGGACAACGTCCTGAAATTCTAGATACATGCTCTGGATAAACACTTAACTGAAGAATTATGCAGGCACTTCATTCCAGCCTTTTCCAGCCAGCTCCACATAAGGAGCGTGCCCCACAATACACTGTGTTGGCAAAGCTCTCTTTTGCGAGAACGCAGCTGTAACAACAAAGCTGTTTTGTATGATATGGTAAAACCAGACCTGCACATATGAAATGGGTTACTTCAGGGAAAATACAGCTTTGCCAGTGTAATAGGGGACGTTCACCACCGCAGTGATGCTAGTCAGAGATCACATCTGTTCACACAATGGGACGAGCGGCTCTGCCAACAAGTGTCTGTAGTGTGGGAACCGCCTCGTTCTGCTGCACGGTATAAGCCCATATTCCACCACAGAGGCAGCAAGATTCCCAGAGCTGGGATCACCGCCCTTTTATTAGTTTTGCAGTGCAGCAGGAAGGAAGAGAAATTCTTCCTCTTCTCCCATTATAATTGTACAAAATTGCTGCAAGATGAATTCTAAGGCTATTTATGAAGGTAATTTGATGGCATAAAATAAGCAATAAGAAATGATTTTGTAAGGCACTCATTAACCCACGGTCAATGCAATCAGCTTCCCTGTGTGTATTATAATGTTGCTTATCCATCATCTGTTCTGCTTCATACTCTTTAATTGTTCTGGCTTTGGGGAAAGTAGGGGAAGCAGGGGGAAGGTTTATCTCTTTTTTTTTTTTTCTTTTTCCAAGTGCATCATTTGATCTGTGCCCAGCGGTGCTCCAATACACTCATCACAAAGAGTTTTGATGCTCATAACTGGGCTCGCTCTGAACCCATTAAATCAAGGACAACCTCTCCCTGGGGAGGGCCAGTCCTCGGGCAAAGGGAAAGCGAACGCCAACAGCACGAACGAGGCCGTTTGAAGCCGCGCTGGCTTTGATCGCCATCCCTGGAGAACCGAAGGGGTGACCCAAGTCTTATCCCACCTTTCTGGAGAAGGCTGGAAGCCGGGCTGGGGTTCGAGAGGTGCCTGAGGGCGCCACCTACTGCCCCCGCTGTCCCCCCAGCCCAGCCAGCACCCTGCCTGCAACGTCAAGTGCACAAATGGAAGCGCTGCCACAAAGCCCCTCTTCGGGTGGCGGTGCCCTGGTACTTGGCTACGGCTCTTGCCGAGCAGCGAGATCATCATTTTGTCTTTTAAGAGAGGGAATCAGTCTACGTGAGGTGCACCAAAAGGCTAGGATGAAAAAAAAAAAAAAAAAAAAAAAGGCGGGGAGGGGGAGCAAATAATAAATCACGCCGTCCAACTTCTCCCCCGGTGAAAGCAAATGCTGAGCCGTGCACAAAGGCGGCCAGGCGCAGCTGTGGGCTATTTTCACTGCAAACCGATCTGCCGCTTCGTGCCGCCTGCCTCCCTTTCCCGCATGAGTCCCCTTCCCCCAAAAGCAGCCCCTTATCGCGCGGGGCCCGAGCCCGAGCCCGCCGCAGCTCCCGGCGCCTCCTTTGGGGCTCGCCGAGCCAGGAGCTCGCTTCCCACTTCCATTCAAGGCAAGGGGAGCGCATCCCTTGCCTTGAATGGCAGTCAGGGCCGGGCAGCCACCACCAAAACGCCGCCGGGGCTGCGGGAGGCGGCGGCGGCGGCGACCCCCGTCGGGGCTCTCCCTTCCAGCCGGTCCCCGAGAGCCACCCCCGGGCTCCCCCCGGGATGCGGGCAGGGAGCCGCGGGGAGCACGGAGCATCCCCGGGACCCGCAGCCCCGACGGGACGGGGTGCCGGGCTGCGGTGCCGGGGTGCCCCCACCCGCCTTGCCGCCACCCCAAGCACCCCGAGGTCCCGGGGGCTCACCAGCTGCCGCCGCAGGAGGAGGATGTTCTCCTCCAGGAATTTCTCCTCCAGGCTCCGCGGCGGCGGCCCCTCGCCCGCCTGCTGCTCCCCTCGGCCCCCCTGCGCCCCCGGGGGTCGCCGCAGCAGGAGGCTCTTCACCAGCAGCTCCTGCCTCTGCCTCAGGTAGTCCAGCTCGCCCAGCCCGGCTAACGTGGCTTCCAGCCTCTCCCGGGTGCGCTGCCGCTCCGCCTCCGCTTCGCCCTTCTCCCTCCAGCGAGCATCGGCTCCCCCCGACGGCCCCGTTCCCGGCACCGACCCCGATCCCGGTGCCGGTGCCGGTGCCGGTCCGGATCCCACCGAGGCTGCGGCCCCGGGGCTGGCCTTCATCGCCGCCTTGGGGGGGGGGCTCCGCCGCTGCCTCCGGGCCCTGCCCTCGGGGGGCCGCCGAGCTCCGCGCTGCCGGGGCCGCCGCTGCCTCCGGGGCCGCCGGTGCCGGTGGCGAATGGGCCGCGGGGAGCCCGGCTGCTGCCGCCGCCCCGCGCCCGCCCACCGCCGCTCCGCCCTCCTCCTCCTCCTCCTCCTTCTTCTCTTCGTCCTCCTCCTCCTCCTCTTCCTCAGCTCCGCCTCCCTGCGGGGCCGCCGGGGGTCGGTGGTGGGCGCCGCCGTGCCCCGGTGGAAGGAGACGGAGGGGGTTTGGGGATGGGTGAAGGCTCCGAAAAGCCCCTCGGCGGCACGTCGGGGTGCTGGGCAGCTGGAAAATGGAAAAGAAATGGGGAGAGAGCAGCCCAGGGCGGTGGGGAGAGCAGGGGGAAGGTGGGGAGCGCAGGGGAGATGGCCTCAAGTTGTGCCAGGGGAGGTTGAGGTGGGAAATGAGGAGACATTTCTGCTCAGAGAGCAGGCAGGCGTTGGGACGGGTTGCCCAGGGAGGTGGGGGAGTCACCGTCCCTGGGGGTGTTCAAGGGAAGGTTGGGCCTGGTGCTTGGGGACATGGGTTAGGGGTGACATTGGTGGTAGGGGGATGGACCAGGTGATCCTGGAGGGCTTTTCCAACCTTAGTGGTTCTAGGATTTTTGTCATTCTTGTGCCAGGATGCAGCGTGGGCACTGGGATCAAAGCACCGGCGAGGTGTTGCTGCAAAGCCCGTTGGAGTGGACTGGCTGAAAAAGCCATAATGAAGTGAACTTCATACAGCATGTGGACTAATTGCAGCCTGGGACGTGCAATTAGGTTCACAATGGGTAGGCGGTGGAAAGAGAGGGGGTGGGGGGAAGTGCTCGAGAAGAAAGAAAGAAAAAAAAGAAAGAAAAATGTTAGAATGAAAATAGAGCAAAAACTAAGTTCCGGATGTGTTCTGAGGGGAGAGAATGGAAGAGGAGAGAAGAAAGCATTCAGGGAGCCCTTCACAATACAGGGTTTGTTTGGTACAGCAGCTCTCCCAGACATAATGAACTGCTCTTTCCTGCTCTCCCTCTGCTCCGCAGAAGATTAGGGCTGTTTGTGGTACGGAGAGGTCTCACACAAAGTTAGTGCCCCACTCCCATACTGTCTGCAGAAGGCGATGGGTTGCAGGGTGCCATCCACCTGCTTTGTCCCCTGTAGGTGCTGGTCCTCGTTGCAAAGAGCCAGCAGCTCACACAAATCGCTATTTCACAGCCATTTCAAGCCAACATAAAGTGCTTTCTAAAAAGAGCATTCATAACCAGCCCTCAGTCCCTCCCAAATGTTTGAGGCATCACCTCAGAGAACGGCTGATGCTCAAGCCAGCTCCATTCTTTTTGCTTTTGATCTGTTCCCAGATCTGGTTCACCACACAGCCGTGTCAACAGAGTGCATCTGCATTAATATTTCAGTTTGGATTAGGAGTGCCTTTTTGAACCAGCCCTCGAGATCGTTCTGGCTTGCCGTGCTTCGATTCACATCACGGGCTGATCTGAGAGCAAAAAGCACCGAGCTGGTTTGGGGTAAAAGAAAAGCAGGAGGAGGGAGCACACCCGAAGTGCTGCAGCCACTAATGGGTGTTCATTAATGGGCAGTCAGTCTGTGGGATGAGAACACAACGAGCAGCACCCTTGAAATACATGCAGCATGGACAGCAGGCCCTCAGTACGGCGATACTGCGCGGTAAATCCTGTCCTGGCTACTAATGTAGACGTAGCCTAAGTGCCAGCAAAAGCAGGGAGGCGAGGCAGTGCAGGAGCAAGCAGCCAGAGAAGGCAGGGCCACTTCTTTGGGGAGCAGTGTCAGTGCTGCCAGATCCACGAGACCATGAAATTGCAGCCACAGAAAGAACTGACAAACACTGAAAGGACAAGGGATACCCCAAGGGCAAAGGAGTGACTGGGGTTGCTAAGCAAAGCTGGAAAAAAAAGCCAAGTCCCGTACTGGACCAATGCCCCTCTACTTATTTTATCTCTCTCTGCCTGTAAAAGGCCCAGAACTGGACTCGGGCCCTGCCCACAACCTATAGGCCACTGCTGCTGACCAAAAAACCTTCTCCATGGCTCCATCTCCCGCTCAGGGCTTGGCACACAGCACTCTCTGAGCATGTTTATGCCGAAAGCTGTGTTGCAATGCCAGTTGCTTTCCCAAGCAGGTACCAGAAGCTCTCCAGATACGGAAACACAGAGCTCATACATTTTCCTTCACCCTTTTTAGCCAATTTTTGCATGTAGCTCTGTGCTTTGCATGCGTTCGTACACAAGGCTTCATGCAATATTTATGCAGAGCTATTTCAACTCTTTCTGTGCTATTGTGCACTGTGCAATGTACACGCAGCTTCCGATAAAAAATACAGTGGTAGGTAGCTCCTGCCTTAATGTTCAGATGTATTTATTTGCCACTTATCATTTTGTAAATTACTGTTCAATTCCTCCCTCCCAAGGCACCTCTTCCACTCTGACAAGTATCAGCTGCTGCCAGTCTCCCGTGCTCCCTGCTTACATTTCCATGTTCATCCTTTGCAGTGCATCGGCTACAGGAGGGAAAAGCAGCATGAGAACTGCCAAAACTGTCGACTGTGTCCATCACATGGAGAGGAGAATGCAGGTTGGTTTAACTGAACCAAGCTCACTGCATGACTGGGAGCAAGGGAAGGGACACAGAAGACTGTGCAAGAACTAGGATGAAGCTCAGCAGAGCATACATAGGTCATGAGGGAGAACCCAGAAAGATAGAGTTTGAAGGCAGCAGAAAGACCAAGGAGAATGAGCATGAAATAGCCCCTTCCATTTGTTTAGGAAGATTTTTATTTTGTTCAGAAAATAACAACATAAATTGTCCATAAGCAGCAAGACAAAAAGTCTTGAAAGCATCTTCCATTCCTCTCCTGGCGTGCAGCAACACCTGCAGGACTTGCTCGTACACTCCTTTGTAAAGTTGCTGTTCCTTCACTGGATTAATCAGTCCAAAATCTCCAAAAACCAAATAATCCCAGGTTCGCCATCCTAAACTTGAACACAGAAGATACAAGGAGTCAGTGAGGTATTTGCAAGGAAGAAGAGACTGCGATTGAGGAGCTCTGTTGCTAGGATGTTATGAGAGGTGTAATTCTGTCTGGTACAGAGGCGGTTACGAAATGGCTCATCTTCTTTGATTATCCTGGCTCAGCTTTTAGGATTATATTATCAGGTGGTAGCAATGATGTGTTCTCTTTGCACCAGGTATTTCATACATAGGGAGTAAAGAGATGATCTCTGCCCCACAGAGCTTACAAGACAAGAAGCAGCAGACGGCAGCCACTGGTAGTATGAAAGGAGACCTGAAAAAGTACTGGCTGCATGAGCAGTGGATCCAAAACACAGAGGTTCAGTTCCAGAGAAGCTTTCCAGAGCTACCACAGTGACAACGTGCAGAAAGAGATGAAGGAGGTTAAAGAACTGAGTCTGTGTACACTGCTGGCACTGCAGGATTGGGCAGAGGAAAATTTTACATCCAAAGTCTCTGAGATTGCAGCAGCCCTGAGTAGCCACAAGCCAGCAAGGTCATCACCATGAATTTTGCCAGCTGAGAAACCAAGGCAGCAAGGGGCAAATGTTTTGGACCCCCATCTCAGCACTGATTTCCTTCCTGGGGGACCAAACCCCTACACCCTGATGCATGCAGTTGACTTTCCATCCTCCTCCCCTGCTGATCACTGAATTCAGTTTCGGTGAAATGAGGCCAATTAACACTTTTTGCTTTTCCTAGGTTAATTTCTGACCAGCCACACTAAAACGCGTGCAGGAAATTGCAGAAATTAAGAGGAACATTACAATTCCCTGTTTGTAAAACGAAGGCAATTGCTTTCTTTGCTTATTGTAACAACACATCTGAGGCAGGGCGATACGTTATCCAGAAACGTCCACTTGGGGACCATGCTAAAGACCCGCAGCCAACATTATGCCTCTAATACTTTATTTTAATCTATTCTAATGTTAATTTTCTAATCATTTCTTAATTGCGTTGGATAATATAATGGGGTATAAATCTTACCAGCAAATCAGACTGACATCAGCTTGAGTTATCATATTTCCATGGTTACATTATTATTACAAGTGAACCTTGCGCTTGTTACTAACCACAAACAATTCCAGCAAATAACCTAAACTGAAGCAAAATATCCTGGCAGCGTTTCCATTTTTTGTCAAATGAAAACAATTTCTGTGGGTGATAGGTGACTGCTGCGTGCCTACGATTCGTTTTACTCTTTTCAGGCTCCTTCAGCCTACATTTATTTCCTTGCTTTTGTGCAGTGCTGAAACATGTCCATGCTGTCAACAAAGATGCGCAGGCCTTAAATGTGGAATAGGCTCCTTAACACAAAACTCACAATATTCAGTTGATAACGCTACACCAGCCTGTCAGAACATTACCACGTTTGTATTGTGGCAAAAATTGCTAACGACTGCTACATCAGGAACCAACAACTCGATTAGGTCCCTTGAGGGTCCATTTTCTCCTTACTCTAACCTGATCTGCTTTTGGTCTCCCTTGAAAAGAAGCAGGCCTGCTCTCCCTCACCCCCAGTGACACTGTCTGTGTGTCAGGTGGAGGGACAGACACCTCCCATGGGGTCACTGCAGCGATCTGAGCCCCTCACGTGCACCCTGATCTGATGCAAGAGAAGGGGAAGACGTGCTGGAAGCAGGACAGTGACACTGTCCCTTGCACTCCAGCTGGTTGGGCATTTCCTACATTGGGCTGTTCCTCTGCGAATGATCATTGTCCCACCATCTGTGCAAGTGACCATGGCTGGAAAACAGCTCATTGCCCCAACATGAGTTAAAAAAATTGCCTCTTCTTTCCTTTTTTTTTTTTTTTTTTTAACCCAGATATTTCAGTGATGTAGTTTTCAGCATGAACAGTTGCACTGGCATGTCTGAGAAGGCAGAGCTGTATGTACGAAGGAAAGGAGCAGGAAACCCTCCAGCAAAAAGCTCCTTCCAGAGGGAACGTGGAAGGAAGGATGAACTGTTTGCAAAACAAGAAGTCACCCAGGAGGCCATGGAAGAGGATGCAGAAGACAGCTGCTGG